CGCTCACCTCACTCACAAGACAGGTCTCACCCTGTAGATTTAACTGTGCAGTGCACAGTAGCCCACACCCCTCCCCCACAGAACTGAGCAGAGAAGTCTGTGACTGACAGCTGATGGATGGTAGAGACAGCCTGTGCCATCTCCAGGTCAGATGTCACATGTTCTGCGGAGCCCCCTGCCCCTGTAGGAGTGTAACCAACCTAAGCTCACAGGTCCCGCCTTACAGTGACAGCCAATGCTGCCCATTGCAACAGCCGGCCATTGCAGCAGGAGCCGGGATTCAGGGCCCGTCTGTATCAGAGCAATTTGCACCAGTATAATCACAGTGACGCAGTTCCACCAGGGCAAACACCTCCTGGAGATGCGCTGGAGCGGCGTGGCTCACTCTGGTAACTCCTGCAGCAAACTGCACCAAGGCAAGCTCCTTTGTGCTCCAGTACAGTACGTCTACTGTAGCCGTTGCACCAATTCAACTGCACAGAGGTCATGACATCGGCACAGAGGATTCCTAATGCAGACAGACCTGGATTCACCCCCCTCTGCCAGCTGCTAACCCCTCCTGGGGCCCAGTGATCAGTTCCCAGGGCAATAGATAAATCCCACCCCTCACAGTCTCACAGCCTCCCCGCCCCAGACTACTGGCAGATACAGCCGGGCTCATGTTCACCGCAAACAGACGCCCTCTGTACTAGCATGTGCTTTCTGTGCAGCCCGGGGGAGTGAATGGTGCTAAGGGACCCTTCATGGCCAAGATCAGTGATTGGTGGGTTTCAACGCTGCGTTGATGGAGGGGTCTAGACTGAATTCTATGGCTCATTTCGATAACATGGCAGCACCTGCCACCCAGCCACAGGCATGACCGCAAGATGCAGGAAGGCCAGGCTGGTACCTCAGAGCAACCCAGTGCAGGCAAAGAGCTCACTGCTGCTCTGCGCCCTGTCTCATGGGACACCCTGGTAAGTGACTGTTTCATGGCGCAGGGTAAAGGTGACTTGGGTCCAAAGTGCTCAGAGCTGGGCTGGGGGGAGTTAATGTCAGTCAGATCGTCCAACACAGAGCGTGCCCAGGTGCAGGGTCTGGGAGGGAGCGGGAGGAGGGTCGTGGAGGAACATCCCCCAGGAATCCTCAGTCCCAGGGGCAGAAGCCAGACAGGCCGGGAGGAGAGACTGTGACTGTGGTAGGTCCCAGGGGGCATGGGATGCGCAGAGATCGCAGAGGGAGGGGAGAGGAAAGGAGCAGGATGGAAGCTGGAAACTCACCTGCCGGAGCAATGATGGCAGCGATCAAAGCAGACAATACAACTATCAGCGCAACCACAACTGGACAGTTTTGACTTTTCTTGCAGTTACGTCGAGGTTCTGAAACACAAAGACCCGTCAGGCAGGGCCGCGAGGACACGTCTCACTGACAGCACCAGGGCTGGAGCTGCTCTAGAACATGCACCGTTCGGTCAATTGCTCCTCCCGTCAGACGCTCTGGGAGAGGCGCCTGGAGGCTCAGGCAGGCTGGGGCTGGCAGAACAGTCCCTCCTTCCCCTCAGCCCAAAGCCCTCCCTGGGCACTCCCAGCCAGGCTGTCACGGGGCCTGGTGAGCTCAGGGCTACAAAGATAAGGACCCGCATGTTCTGGTGGCAGGAGCTCAAACTGCCCCCCCCCCCCAGCCTCCCTGCCGAGCGCTGGCTGTGCCCACACTGCCGAGTGCACCTGTCCCCGCACACTGGGGTCGCACACTGGCCATACAC